AGAGTAGGCAAATTAAGAAAGTAGATTAGAGGGCGCCTGGGTGGCTCAGTTGGTTGAGCGACTGCCTTCGGCTCAGGTCATGATCCTGGAGTCCCGGGATCAAGTCCCGCATCGGGCTCCCTGCTCGGCAGGGAGTCTGCTTCTCCCTCCGACCCTCCCCCCTCTCATGTGCTCGCTCTCTCAAATAAATAAATAAATAAATCTTTAAAAAAAAAAGAAAGTAGATTAGAGGTTACCAGGATGTACAAGGAGGGAATGGTGAGTTATTGCTTAATGTTTATGAAGTTTGTTTTTGGGGTGATGAAAACGTTTTGGAAACAGACAGTGGTGATGATTGTACAACACTGTGAATACAATTAACACCACTGAATTATACACTTAGAAATGATTAAAACTGCAAAAAATGAAAACAAATCAAACCAAAACCAAACAAAGAGGCACGTGGATCAGCAATGGCCCAGTTTTCTTATTTCTGGCTGGAACAAAGGGGTATAATTTGATGAGAGAATACATAACGGGAACTAAATACAGTTTGGCATAATGATGAAAAGTTTTGGGCCGATGGGAAATTTCTATTTTTTGGATTTGGAGATACTACCATCTCTAAAAATTAATATTTATCTTTTGGGAGGATGTGTGTGTGTGTGTGTAATTCTCTGGACAATTGGATAAAAATATGGTAAAGGTCCAACTCTTATCTGAGGAGACAATTTAAAGGAATCAACTTGCCTGTGGCCCTGCCCCACTGTGGTCTCTGCAGAGGAATTTGTGAAGTGTCCTTCCCTCTGCCCCCACCCATCTGTTCCATGGAATTCAGAGCGCCAAAGGTCACTTTCTGGTGCCCTTAGAATCTTTTTCAGAAATAAAGACTTGGAGAAATAAATGTCTAGATAGGAAATGGATCCATGGGTGAGAATAATCCAAGAGAATCCAAGGTCGAGTTTCCCTGTGGAAGTGAGAAATAGAGGCTTTTTGACCAAGAGGAGTAGACTGGAGGGCAGGAATGGGTGTAGTCTTGAGCAGAGTCCTGTTAAGAGCCTAGTTCTTTTGAAATTCTTTCTTAAACCATAAAAAGCCAAAATTAGCCTATTAATTTATGACTTCTTTCACGTGTATTATTCCCTTGGATTTCTCCAACACTTCAGTGAAATCTGCTGTACCTTTGCATTTTGGTGTGGTTTATTGGAGGCAAGTGAGAGATAGCCTCGTAAAGCTTAGTGAGGCTTCCCTGCATTAAATCCTCTCCCTCCTTAAGAGAGTCCTGAGAGTGAACTAGCATCAGGCCATCCTTGGCTGGGTACCCACCATGAAGCAAAGCAGAATTTGCAATCTATAGAATCAGTGACCAGGAGCACAACTCAGGAGCATACAAGAGACTTTGTCCCACCACAGTTTTCCTAAATACGTTTACTTTGTCTTTAAAGTGCTTAGCATAATGTCTAACCATAATAAGCTCTCAAAACTACTAGCTGTTCTATGCATTAACCCACTTCAGAAATTTCCCTTAATGTCCCAGCTTTGATAGTGTGAAGGGAGGAGTAGGGCAAATCGGAAAGTCTAAACTTCTATGGTTTAACAAAGGATGTAATTATAAAGTTTCTGGGTCAGAGCATGGAATGTTAAGATGAAGTAGTGGATACTGCCTTTCTTCCATAACCCAACCATCAGGGAGTCTCGGACTGAGAAGGGAGTTAAGACATTGTCTATTACCATCTCCCAACCAGGAGTCCTTCCAGTGATCATGGACTGGCCAGTTTCTGGTTATGTGATGTGTAATTTTCTTTCATAGTAAACATCTGTTTCAATGACGTATTTACAGATTATTTGATTATTGTTTCCCACTTGAGTGTAAGGTCCATGAGATCCTTCTTGATTCATCCATTCTACATTCATTCAGTGTCTACTATAGGCCAACCAGGTACTAGTTACTAGTGATATCGTCGTGGGGGAAAACAAAGACAAAAATCCCTCCCCTCATAGAACTAAGATTCACTGAGGAACAGAGATCACAGCGCATTTTGTGATAAGTAGTAAAAAGAAGTATGAATTAGGGAAAGAGGAAATGTGAGGATTGTGGGCTACAGTTGAAATTTTAGATACATGGTAGCTAGGAAAATCCTCAACTACAAGGACATATTTGAGTTAAGACATAAATAAGGAAATCAAACTGTAATGATATAACACCTGAAACTAATACAACAGTTAGCTATACTAGAATTAAAATAAAAGCTTAAAAAAAAAAAACCATAATGAGATACAGGGAAAGATCACTCCAGGCAGGGGCATCAGTAAGTGGGGTAGGAGTGGGTGTTCCTTGTGTAAGCAAGGGAGAGAATTAAAGGTGATCATTTTTTTAAGATTTTATTATTTATTTATTTTTATTATTTATTAAAGATTTTATTTATTTATTTATTTGACAGAGAGAGAGAGAGACAGAGTGAGAGGGAACACAAGCAGGGGGAGTGGGAGAGGGAGAAGCAGGCTTCCCGCAGAGAAGGGAGCCCGATGCGGGGCTCGATCCCAGGACCCTGGGATCATGACTTGACCCGAAGGCAGACGCTTAACAACTGAGCCACCCAGGCACCCCAAGATTTTATTTTTTAAAGTAATCTCTACACCCAACTTGGGGCTCGAACTTATAACCCCTAGATCAAGAATTGCAAGCTTTACCAACTGAGTCAGCCAGGTGCCCCTGAAGGTAAAATTTAGAGGTAAAGCAGGGGCAGATGGTAGAGGGTCTTGTGAGTCATGTAAGGATGTTGGCTATTACTGAGAGAATGGGGAGACATGGAGAGTACTGACAGAGGAGTGACAGGATCTGAAGGGTTTCAATGGTGCGCCTCGGTGGCTCAGTCCATTGAGCGTCTGCCTTCGGCTCAGGTCATGATCCTGGGGTTCTGGGATCAAGCCCCACATCCGGCTCTTTGCTCAGCAGGAAGTCTGCTTCTCCCTCTCCCTCCCTCCTCTCTCTCCTCTCTCTCAAATAAATAAAATCTTAAAAAAAAAGGGGGGGGGGAGTGTTGAAAGGATTACCCTGACTCCTGTGTAAAGAATAGACTGTAATTTAAGGAGGGTGAAACGGGAAGAGCAGTTGGGAGGCTAAATGCAGCAATCCAGGTTGCTCGGACCTGGAGGTGTTGAAAAGTGGCCAGTTCTGGATTTATTCTGCAAGTAGAGTTAACAGGATTTGCTAATGGACTGGACTTTAAAAGGAAGACAGCAATCAAGGAAGACTGCCAGGTTGGCCAGAGCCGTGGGAGGGATGACATCACCACCAAGATAGGAAAGATGACAAAAGGAACGGGTGTGTTGAGAGAGAACAGGTGCTCAGTTTGAGGCATGTTTGAGATGCCCATCAGATATTTAAATGGAGATGCTGAGGCAGAAGTGGTTTGCATTGGTCCTGAGTTCAAGGAAGTAGTCCAAGCTAGAGCTAGAGATTTGGGAATCAATGTATAGATGATATTTAAAGCCTTGAGGTAAGAAGGGAGCTGAGACCCTAGCTGCTTTACTCACCACTGTATCCCCAGTACCCAGTTTCCATCACGTAGTTAGGTATTTTCTATTGAATGAAGAAATAGAATGCATACAGACTGAAGTTGGAGGGAGAAGCCAAATCTTTTTTTTTTTTTTTTTAAGATTTTATTTATTTATTTGAGAGAGAGAATGAGAGCGAGAGAGCACATGAGAGGGGGGAGGGTCAGAGGGAGAAGCAGACTCCCTGCCGAGCAGAGAGCCCGATGCGGGACTCGATCCTGGGACTCCAGGATCATGACCTGAGCCGAAGGCAGTCGCTTAACCAACTGAGCCACCCAGGCGTCCCGAGAAGCCAAATCTTTAATAGACCAAATCGTATGAGGGCAGGGATTTAAAGCCTTTTATTCGAAAAGCCCAACCTGTGTTCCAAGTTCAACGCAGTCATTTAGATGCTGATTCTGTCTGATGAAATAAACATTTCTTTAATGGTTTGGGATGCTGCTGCTTCTGAATTCAGCATATATGACTTTCGTGGAAAAGACAGCTTTTGCAAAATTCTCTTGTGCAATCATCTAGTCTTCTAGCAATTCTTATAATGCAATCAGAAAGGGAAAAAAAATCATTGGTTTAGGATGCAAAATTTCTATTCCTAAGTCCTATATAAGTGACTTGAGTTTACTTGCTTGGCCACAAAGCAGCAGCTGTAAGTGCTGGTCAAGAGACAGCGTGCACTTAAGCAAGGGAATAGATACTTTAGCTAACAGGGCGCAATATGCTACTTGAGTGAACATTACTATTATTATGCTTTTAAAATTAAAGATATGGGACACCTGGGGGACTCAGTGGGTTAAGCATCTGCCTTTGGCTCAGGTCATGATCCCAGCATCCTGGGATCGAGTCCCTCTGCCTACCGCTCCCCCTGCTTGTGCTCTCTGACAAATAAATAAAATCTTTTTAAAAAAATTAAAGATAGGGCGCCTGGGTGGCTCAGATGGTTAAGCGTCTGCCTTCGGCTCAGGTCATGATCCCAGGGTCCTGGGATCGAGTCCCGCATCAGGCTCCCTGCTCCTTGGGAGCCTGCTTCTCCCTCTGTTTCTCTCTCGCGCTCTATCATGAATAAATAAATAAAATCTTAAAAAAAAAATTAAAGATATTATTTGTCATCAGGAATACAATTTCCAAAGCGTCTACGGCTACTCTCTCCTGATCTTTGTTGCCTGTGGAGCACAGACTGGATTTTTAGAGATGTAGCCCTAAAGGAACCTATACATTAAGCAGAGTGGCCCTCAGTCATTTACCCACGTGACTCTGTATGACAGCCCCGCCCATCTTTTTTGGACCCAAACAGGAGGAAGGCTGTTGGGGTACCTGATGGTGATGATGCCTGGGGGAGGGGCCTAGGAGGGTAAGCTCAAATTTGAATGTGTGGGGCCAATGCCTTGCCAGACAGAGTTCAGTGAAGCAGCAGGACTTGAGGCAAGGCTCCCATGCCTAAGACTAAGAAAGACACTCTGGATTCCACTATGGACAGGTAAAGCAGTCTCCTTGTGCGTGCTTGCCCTGGCTTTTCTCTCAGAGCACATCTGAGTTTTCAGATCAGGAGCTATCCCTTTCTCTCCTCTCACTATCTGACTCACTGCTTGGTCAATATGCACATTTATTTTTCTGGATCTGTCTCATCTCTTCAGATCTTACATGCTCTCTGCCTAATTCTCTCTGTTCTGTCTCTCTTCCACACCCAAAAGAACTTTTATGGGCCATGTATGGCCATGTACTGCAGTTAGGACTAGTTTATGGTAATATTAACATAGCAAATGTTTAAAGATTCAAATCATGAAGAGGTAATAGCAATAATCTAGTATACTAAAGACAGTTGTGGAAATTGTAATACTAATTTTGTAAATATTCAATTGCAAAAGGACTTTGTAAACTTTCCTGGGGAGCCTTTACTGAATAATTGAGCTACATAGTAAGGAAAATATTTTTTTAATGCCAATATTAAAAACTGCTTGAAAGTCACTATGCTGGTATATACCTATTACAGGAAGAAAAATTCAGTCAAGTTATTTAATGTTATAGTTCCAATCACTAGGCAGTTAATGGCATTTTTACTATTTACTGTCTTTCAATTTCTTCAGACACTGCTAACTTATTTCTTAAAATGTATTTTGTAAGATTTACACAATGTTTTCACATGTAGTTTATGACAAGTTATTATCACAACTTAACTTTATTCCTACTTTTATGATTACTACAAATATGAGAATACCTAATCCATATACTTTATCTCAATTTAACTTTTATAAAGAATTTAGACTACAGAATTAAGATTTTATTTTTTAAAATCTTTTTGAAGACTGTATTATTAAGTAATCTATCTGTATACCCAATGTGGGGCTCGAACTCACAAACCTGAGATCAAGAGTCGCACGCTCCACCGACTGAGCAAGTCAGGTGTCCCCAGAATTAAAATTTTTAATGGAAGACTCAATGTTCTTCAGAAAATTTTCTTGAGGGCAAAAATGTCAGCTGTCTGCTCAGCTTGCAATGAGATTTTGAAAATTCATCTGAGGTCTAAGTCAGAGGTAAAGGGTTCAATGAAAATATCTGTATATAATAAAATGCAAAGCAATAATTAATAGTTGAAATTCAAAGGCAACAAGGAGAAAAGATGAAACGGAACAGGAGAAAAAGGGAAATACATAATTATCATTAGGGAAAAGAACATCTGCAGAGGGCATTAGTGATGGCACAGGACAGGAGAGGACTCGGTCATGATTATTTTTAACCCATCTGTCTCCGGTTTGCATTGCTGGGGATGCAGCGATGTTCTGCCTCAGGGAGCACAGCTGTCTAGGGCAGCTGTCGACTTTTGAGCTTGAAAAACTGCCCCTACAAAGTCCTTCGTACCCAAAAGAGAAACTAAGAGAAGAGGGTACTTGAAACGGGCTCCTAGCTACAGTTAAAAGTGATGAACCAAGAAAGTTAATTAAAAGGTCACCATCAAGCAATTCGCTTCACTGTGACTGGTCACTTCTGATAGAAACAGGAACTACGTATTTTCATGTGAGCAGAAGGCAAAAGTCCATCTGAATTCTCTTACCTAAGCCATGTCCTTTCCTATACTCCCAGGACACCTTTGCTTTCTCCCAGCAGCAGATCCCCACCTAATGCCTGTGCATGACACAGTACCCCCCTCCACCCCTTTCTCAGCTGGACAGCCCAGGAGGGCAGGTTAACTGTTCAGAGAAATTTATCAGTAAGGAATGATGCTATCAGTTTAAAACTGAGCCAAGAGACTTTCTTCCCCCTTTTACTTCAGGATTGATTAAGCACTTATTATGTATTCAATTTATATATGCTAATGACTATATGCAAATTATGTCACAACAGTAATAATAATGGTGGTAAGTGCTATGATGATTACTATAAAATTATTTTTTTTGGTATATGAAAATGTCATGTTTTCACCATCAAAACTTACGATCTTGGTCAAAAAATATGGAACACTTCATGAATTTGCGTGTCATCCTTGTGCAGGGGCCATACTAATCTCTGTATCACTCCAATTATAGTATATGTACTGCCAAAGCAAGCAATAAAATTGTCATTTTAAAGTAAAGCCAACAGTTATTAGATCTTTGTTAGCAATTATGTCAGATTCCTGCCAATTTTTAATTCTAAAATAATATGATTCAACAATTTTTATACTGTTTGGTATAATGTATATACTGGTGATAAATCTAGTTCTCTGCCTAAAGTGTATTTCAACAAGCTTCATTGTGTGTGAAGCGTGACATTTAAATTGAGACAGCTATAAAAAACTCATCTGTGTTTACCTAACTCTTAAGGTTGATGCTTGGGTATTTAACTTTTAACTTCACGGTCTATCACATGTACTGCATTAAAATTAATTCTCAACATATGTCCTCCCAAAGACTGGTACATGTTTGTAGAAGCTGTCTTCACAACAGCCCCGAAGTGGCAACAATCCAAATGTCCATCTACAGGTGGAGGGATAAATGTGCTATGGCCATGCAGTGGAATATTACTTTGCAGTAAAAAGGATCAAACTACTGATACATGCAACGCAAATGAATTTCAAATTCATTATGCTAAGTGAAAGAAGTTGGACACAAAGTAAGAGATAATGTAGGACTTATATGGGATTCTAGGAAGTGGATAGTAATGTAGAGTTACAGAAGGCAGATTAGTCGTTGCGTAGAGGGTTGGGGAAGAACTGACTGAAAAGGTGAATGAGCAAATTTTGGGGAAGGGTGCCCTGGAAACGTTCTGTGTCCTGATTGTGGTTGCAGTTTTGGGTGTTTACATTTGCCAGGACTCATAAAATCGCACGTTTTAAATGGGTGAGGTATGTAAATTATACCTCAATTCTTAAAAAAAAATAAATAAATAAAGGTGAAAAAAGTTTCAATTCTCTTGCCAGCAAACCGTATTCAAATCCTTGCCTAGGTCTTTACTTTTACAAGTTTACTGCACTTCTGCCCACTGCCATTAGGTGGCAGCATGATCTCCACAACTTGAATACATTTCTGGAAAAGACTAGGGACAAAAAACGAGAGAGACCTCATTAGTGCTTTGGTATCAACCACACGTATAGCTTGTTTTATGTCCACAACTGCAAAGAAACTTCAGTTAGCCAAGAGTATTTCCACAAATTCAATTCAATTTAGTGCTTATGACATGCAAAACACTGCTAGGCATAAGGAAACCAGAGCAAGTCCCTGCATGTGAGCAACACAGAGTAATAGATTATATTGCCAAGCTAAAAAAGCAGCAGGATGCAAAATTGCATATGAAATCAGTATAATCAAAATCATGTAAACATGCCTATAAGAAGACCAGAAAAAATTTTTTAACAGTAATTTTTATTAGATACTATGTCGAATTATTTGACACTGTATCCTAAATTTTAAATTTTTTAAATTTAAATTTTGTTTAATATTTAAAGAGTGATGTACATGCAAGTTGGGGGGGCAGAGGGAGGGAATCTTAAGCAGACTTCCCACACTGAGGGGGGAACCCAATGCGAGCTCTCTCTCACAACCCTGAGATCATGCATGACCTGAGCTGAAATCAAGAGTCAGATGCTTAACCCACTGAGCCACCCAGGTGTCCCTAAATTTTAATTCTTTAGTATTTTTACATGTAAAACTTTCAACTTTTTGTATTATACAAGTTAACAAATATTACTCTGATATTAAAAAGAAATCTTTTCTCATAAAGTGATACTTTCTGCCTCAAAACACAAAAAATCCAATTGGGGAGACAGAGATGTCAGTGATCAATTGGTAACAGAGGATGAGGGCTTTGACAGAGATAAACTGGAGAATGAAGGGAAATTACAGGAGGGGTTTTTGTTGCTGTTAAGCGTTCGATTTTTTGCCTAGAAATGTTGGGATAAGCGGTGGTGAGAAAGAAGAGTTGAACTGTGAACTGGCTTTGAAGGATATGTAAGTTTTGTCCAGTGGAAAAAGGTAGGAAAGGATTCACTGAGAGGAAGCGCATCAGCAAGGTGACTGGAAAGAAAAAGCCACAGGATCCGACACTAGCACCAGGGGATCAGCTGCATAGGCCTTGAAGATAGGGAGGGGAAGGGGAAAAGTAGCAGGAGAGGAAGCTAGAAATGCAGATTTGATGATCAAACGTAAAAACTGGCCTAAATACCATCTTAGAGCTTGGGATTTATCCTGTGGGCACAGGAGATTCAACTGGGGATTTTTCAACATAGAAATGACATGGTCACGCCTGGGCTTTTGTGAGATCACTCTGGCACAGCACGGAGAATGTTCTTTTGGAGGGACTGGGGCCAGACAGACCAGCTTAGAGGCCAGGACAAGAGATAAGCCGAAAGGTGAGGGCTTTGAGAGTAAGCAGAGAATAGAGGGAATAGCGCAGGTACAAAGACTCAAGAAATATTTGGAGGTTTAAAAAATAAAAATACTGAAAAACAAAAGAGATTTGAATCAATAAATTTAGATCATTAAATATGAAGAAGAATCAAAGATGAGCCAAAGCTTTTCGCCTGGTTACTTGAGATGGAAAAGTAAGGAGAGACAGGATAGTCAGTACAGAGGACATTTTAGGAATTACTGTTTTGGTCAGGTTGGGTTTGAAGTACATATTGGACATTTAGGTAGAGTTTAGAGGGGAACTCTGAAAAAATTATGGAACCGAGGAACAGGTTTGTAAGTCCAAGTTGTCAGCATCTAACAGACAGCTATGAGAGGAGACTGTCCTGCGAGTTCATACCATTTGGGGGTTCTGGCTACCTCTCAAATTTTTTTTTTTTTTTTAAGATTTTATTTGTCAGAGAGAGTGAGTGAGCACAAGCAGGAGGAGCTGCAGGCAGAGGGAGAAGCAGACTCCCCACTGAACAAAGACCCAATGTGGGACTCGATCCCAGGATGCTGGGATCATGCTGAAGGCAGACGCTTAACTGACTGAGCCACCCAGGAGCCCCTCAATTGTTCTTAAATATAAGCATGAAGAGGGTTTTATAATGGATTCCAAGTTCAGTAAGTCTCAGGCATCCAGTGAAGTAAGAAGAGGATCTTCTCTGGTTTGGCTCAAGTCATTATAGATATTTTTAAAAGCTGAAGGAAAGCCAGGAGAATGAGCGCTGCTCCTGAATGTTCCTCCCTCTCCTCACCCACAGCCTCCTGATGAAGCAGAGGAAGTTTCTTTACCATTTCAAGAATGTCCGCTGGGCTAAGGGTCGCCATGAGACCTACTTGTGCTACGTGGTGAAGCGGCGGGATAGCGCCACCTCCTTTTCACTGGACTTTGGTCACCTTCGAAACAAGGTATCAATTAGTTGCTTCCAAGCTAGACTTCGGGCACTTTCAGAACCATATGCAGATAGTACTACTTTCAGCCTGTTTCACGTTTAGGTCTCCACCAGATTTCTCAAATCTCTTTCTTTTTTATATCCATGAAACCAGAACAGGTATGCCCCAAAGCATGCCATTTTATGTCCTCCCTGATCATGTTGGGCACATTACTGTGACACCTTGCTTCAATGCCAAGAGTAACTGCCCCCAAACTTTCCTTCCCTTTCCCCAGCACCTGAATTGCCTTTGAGATTAAGGAAATCAAATATAAGAGCCTTTTGATTTGGAAGAATATTGTCAGCTCACTCAAGCTAAATTTAAATGTGAAAATTCCCTTTCTTTAGAATTTTTTGGAAAATTAAGAAAAAAGTAGGAAAAATTAACGACTCAATTCTGTTTCCCTAATGATTTCTAGTCCCTCCTGCTCACATAGATCATAGGCCAATGAGTACATTCAGCATGGTGAGACCCAGAATACTCAGGGAAGCCTCAATTGGTCAATTAATTAAATCAATCTCTCAGCATCTATCAGAGAATTATATTTACAAGCGACTTCACCATCCAGATGGGTTTGCATAATCTGAGTATTTCATGTCTCAAAACAGGCAGTGAGATCTGATACTGGTGGGATCCCAGGGAAGAATCCATAGGTGGAAGGACATTGTCTGGCTCACTGTTAAGTGTTTATTTTATGATTCAATTTCCTTTGCCTCCATTTGTATTGTGTAAATTATCTCACTTCGGTTGTTTTACATTCTAATCTTTCCTGTTTGGTGATGTGACACATTCTAAGTAGAGAAGGGTTTGCTGTTACCAACCCTTTCTTTCCTTCTCCTTTAATCCTCACGATCGATACCAGGCCATTTTATTGGTGAGGACTTAGAAGATCCAAGAGTTGGATGAGTTGTCCCAGTCACCTGAGTGGTGATGCCAGGAAATGAAACCTAGATCTTTCAGATTCTAGGACTAATGACTTTTCGGCAATACTATGCAGATTTGCTCTATCTCATTATTGCGCAGTTATTACAATCACAGGGATCATAGGATGAGCAATCACATTATTTAATTGTTCTGAACCCACAGCAGTCCTATTACCTCTCCTACAACACCCCTCTGTTGGCCTTAGCCTAATCTCTTTTACCCCTTCCAGTCCTCAACCATATGTTTCCTACCTCCCCCTAGTGGTCTGGTGTGTTTCCACAATGTTACAGCAACAGGCCATTTTCTTTCTCCACAAACGCGCCAGAAGTAACTTCGCGAACACAACTCAAAACTCTGGAACACTGTGATGCTACTTCAGCCAGACTCATCGCATCCTCCTGCTTTTCTGTTCTGTTGTAACCTAAGGCCCAAACTGCAGACACGCTAAAAAAGATTACTGGGGGAGGCAGATGAATTAGTGACCATAAAGCTGCCGGCACCGCAGTAAAGGTCACTAAACGTCACCTAAGTCCTCTGCTCTGTCCGCAGTCGGGCTGCCACGTGGAGTTGCTCTTCCTCCGCTACATCTCCGACTGGGACCTGGACCCTGGCCGGTGCTACCGCGTCACCTGGTTCACCTCCTGGAGCCCCTGCTACGACTGTGCCCGGCACGTGGCCGACTTTCTGAGAGGGTACCCCAACCTCAGTCTGAGGATCTTCACCGCGCGCCTCTACTTCTGCGAGGACCGCAAGGCTGAGCCCGAGGGGCTGCGGCGGCTGCACCGCGCGGGGGTCCAGATCGCCATCATGACCTTCAAAGGTGAGAAGGGGACCTCGTTTGGGACTGCAGTTCGGAGGAGAAAAATCGGGGGGGGGGGGGGCGGGGGGCGGAATTCAGCCAAAAATTGACTAGAATAGGAGGAAGAGAATTAAGGCTTGGACACCAGGCTTTGTAGGAAATGAGATTTAAAAGGGGGAGGGGGTTCTTTCTTTCCTCTCTATTTGGGATCTGAGCTATCTCCTACCCCATGCCCCTCCTTTTTTAAAGATTATTTTTATTGCTGGAATACTTTTGTGGAAAATCGTGAAAAAACTTTCAAAGCCTGGGAGGGATTGCACGAAAATTCCGTTCGACTATCCAGACAGCTTCGACGCATTCTTTTGGTAAGGGGCTTCTTTGCTTCTCATTTTCTTTCTCTCTCCAAAGTCATCTTTTCCTGGAGCTACTTAAATTTTCCTTTAGCATATTTTTTACATTGTCTGTGCATATGTGTGTAGGTATCACTCTCATTTTTTCTCTGATGAAAGCCGTACTGTGTCTTTTTTTTTTGTTATTTCTCCTACATTTGAATTTGCTCTTTTGTTTCACAATTCAGAGCCCTCTGCTGAGATGCCCTTCCTTTCCCCTCTTTCATCACCCACAACTCTCTCCCTTACACTCTCCTCAGGATTCTGTTTTCCTTCAGGTAGAATTCCTTCCTCTCCTCTTCCTACCCCTGCCAAGTTACTTTCTTCCACGATGTTACAAATACATCCACTCAGCTTCTTTCTTTCTTTACAGCCCCTGTATGAGGTTGATGACTTACGAGATGCATTTCGTACTTTGGGACTTTGATATCAACCTCCAAGAATGTCACTTAAAATTAACCACCTCTGAAGACAGTGGGTAAAAGGACAATCTTTCAAGAATTCCGTTTTTCTTCAACTCTCATTTTCTTAAGAGTTTAGAGAGAAAATATTCATTACAGGACTTTGTAAAAAAAAACCGTCTTGAAAGTACAGAAGGAACACAGGCCCACCAGGGAAATGCTGCAACTGGTGCAGCTTTTAATGCAACAGCGCCCCCTACTGGGAAATGACAGAATTGCAGGGCCTGGGAGCACCTAAAGTGTCGTGTTCTATGACTGAGGGAGGAAACAAAAGGTAAATCTGTAAAAGCATGGTGAGAAGATCAAATGTTTTTATAATATGTATCCTTTATTATGTGATTCATACGGAGTTTTCAATGATATTAGTGATATTTTTTTCTACTCTTTTCCTTTGGGGTTCCCTTTCAAGTGAACAAACTTGTACCAGTCCATGATCTATACAGAACCTCCTAATGAAAGGATCTGGGTAATTGTAACCCCAAAACATCTTCCCAAGGCATTAATATCTAAGCATGCACTGTATGTTTTCATTGTCTGAGGTATGTTTTTATGTTTGTACATAAGACAATTTTTTTCTTGGTATGAAATATGCATGATCACCTTCAAGCTATTTTATAATAAAGGATCTTAAAATGAATGAGGACTGTGAAGAAGACACTCTAAAAGTTAGTTGATGCCTCAATTAACACATCTGGAAACATAGATCCTTTTAAAGAAGTCCATAGGTCAGAAACCACAACCATAAATTTCACATTTAATTAGGTAACACTTGGAAAGGACTTGCTTCAGTTTGAGAAAAGAAAAATCTGTCCTCTCCAGTGGGTCTCGTAACTTGAACAGTGTCAACCAGGCCAACATTTCCGACTTTTTGTATGTATGCGATGCTCCTCTCAAAGAAATGTTCACTATGTAGGACAGTGTGACAAAAAGAGAGTAACATTTGGAAAGGAAGGATGACAGAGCATTCATTACAAAGAAATAGTGTTTTCTCCAGCAAAATGTAGGGAGCCAACATGGCAGAAAGTGCCTCTTTGTAACAACTCTCTTTGACTAAGAAAAATATTAAAAAATAACCATATCACTGTGCAATTATTACCTAGCAACCCTTGCAATGCAGATAAATAGATCTGCATGACAAGTTGAATGCACAATTGCGTTGTTTTACAACTACAAATGGGTGCCAGGACTAATCAATAGAAGAAAGAATAATCCTTTGCAACAAACTGCTGGGACAACTGGATATCTATATGCAAAAGAATGAATTTGGATCTCTTACCACATACCACATGCAAGAACTAAAACTATAAAACCCTTAGAAGGAAACACAGGTGGAAATCTTCACGACCTTGGATATGATCAAGTCCCTTAAATATGACAGCAAAAGCACAAGCAACAGAAGGAAAAAAGAGAGAAATTGGACTTCTTTAAAATTAAAAGCTTTTGTGCATCAAAAGAAAAGCAAGGAAGTAAAAAGACAATCTGCAAAATGGGAGAAAATATTTACAAATAATATACCTGGTAAGAGTTTAGTAGACAGAATACACCAAGAACTCTTACAACTCATAAAAAACCCCAACAACCTAATTTTAAAATGGCCAAAAGACTTGAATAGACATTCCTCCAAAGATGATACACACATGGCTAATAAGCACATGAAAGGTACTCAACATCCTTAGTCTTTAGGGAAATCAAAGCCAGTGAGATACCACTCAGACTATTAGCATGGCTATCAACATCAAAAACAATCACAATCGTTGCTCAAGATGGAGAAACAAACCTTCCATATGTTAACTGGTGGAAATGTAAAATTGTGCAGCTGCTATGGATAACAGTTTGGTGGTTCCTCAAAAGCTGAACACAGATATCACCCAGCAATTCCACTTCTAGGTATATATCCAAGAGATTAAAAGCATACGTTGAAACAAAAACTCTTCCGTGAATATTTATAGCAGGAGTATTCGTAAGAGCCAAAAAAAAAAAAAAGGAAACACCAAATGTCCCATCAAGTGATGGGTGGATAAATAAACGTGCTATATCCATACAACAGTATTTTATTCAGTCATAAAAAGGAATGAAGTAGGAACATGATACAACATGAATGAATCTTGAAAACGTTGTGCCAACGGAAAGAAAGCCAGACACAAAATGCCATATATTTTATGATTCCGCTCATATGAAATGTCCAGAACAGGTAATCCCACAGAGACAGACAAAAAAATTAGTGGTTGCCAGGGGCAAGAGGGAAAAGGGCATGGGAGTTACTTAATGCATATGGAGTTTCTTTTGGGGGTGATGAAAATGGTCTACATTTCAGTGGTGATGGTTGCAAAACATTCTGAATGTACTAAAACCCACTAACGTGTATTTTAGAGTGGCTAAAGTTTACATGTGTGTGAATTGATAAATGAACTTATAAATGCAAATTTTATGTTATGTGAATTTTATCTCATTTAAGACAAGCCAATATGACTTGAGTCAGGTGACCCTAAATTTGAATTCTGTTTCTATGCGACAGTGGGCAAGATACATTTAACCTCTCTACAGCTTTAGTTCCCGATCTCTACATGGGTATGATAATATGAACTTTTCACAATTTTGGTAAGTATTAAATTAGAAAATAACACAAACACAACTATCTTAGTGATTAGCATTGCTACCCTTTCTGTTTGCCGGACAAACCTAGAAATCACCCATGACATCACCGTCTGCCCCCATATCGGGTCCTTACACTTTGTATGCTAAATACTTCTTGCATTCACTTTTCTCTCCCTCCTCTACTAGTACCTAAGAAAGAGGGTAAAAAACGAAAACAAAAAATAGTCTGATAGTTGAAAGCAGGCCTGACACTTTTAGCCAGGCCATTATTATTTTCCTGTTGGACACAAACAGTCTCATAGAATAACAACCTCAAACAGGATTATTCAGACTGATATGAGAGAAAGCAAAACCATTTCATAATTTGTCTGAGCCACCCCACAAAATACCAAACACCACCTCTCTTGGCTGGAAGGAATGACTGCTACTTCCTTACCAGTTACAGCTTTATCCGTGTTCTAGTCAGCCCTCCAGAAAGATGGGACACACCCGATTATAGAACTGACCTAATTCCCTCACAATATCTAATCTAACACAAATTCCCATTTTCTTAGCCCCTCCCCCAATTCACCGAACCAAAGCCCAAATTCTGTACTTAAATTCATAGTCATGACGTGTCTCAGTGAGAGAAACACCCTCTTACTGACTAGACACTTCACAGCTCATGGCTGCCCATAATGTTGGTTCTCTCTCACGGCAAGAGTAATAAATCCCACTTGTTCAACTACAGGAGGCGAGTTATTTATTGTCTTTGGATGGAGGCCATTGACACATCTTAGCTGGAGCTACCGACATCTTAGTCTATTGTAATAGTTATGATATTCACTAATTCTTGTAACATTTTACTGACAAGTGTAGAGGCCACTTTGAGTGAACAGGTTTGAGCAATGGAAACAAGAGCGAGGCAAAAGGGCCCACAGTGACCACCCAGGTGACACACAGGCTCGTTAAGTGACTCACCTTGGAAATCGCCATAGGTCCTAACTAACCAATGGGCTACTTACAACCAGGCAGTTACCAAAAAAGGGAAAATTCCATACATTCCATACCTTCTCACTCCACTCTGTAACTGTGGTATCTCACCACCATTTTGTGGCAGACAGTCTCCCTTGCAATGTATTCAATGAACTCTTTTGTTCTGCCCTGGGTGAATTCTTTTGCAGTTGGCCCCCTCTCAATCAGGATGCCCCACGAGAAGTATTCTGTGGTGGTGATGATATGGTTGGTTTTAAGAAAATTTCATGAGAAATAAATGCTGAATCTGCTATTTAATCATTCATTCTCCTTAATATTTACTGATCAACTACTAGGTGCATAGCAGTGTGACCAGCATATATGTATCTATATCCATGTGTTCAAAAAGCTTACATTCTGGCCAGAAAGACAATCCATGTGCATGAAGAAAATACTACATATGTTTTTAAATGTGAGTTGGGGTACTTTTTGTTATAGAAACTGCTAATTATAGTATTTTAGAATTTAAATGTTCAACTTATTAAAGATACAAATTTAAGCACCTAACTTTTAAGCCTTTGTTTCAAACTTCAAAATTATTTTATGATTTATAAGTCTAATTTTGTATTAAATAAGAGCAACCACTTTCACTTGCTCTTTTTTTACCAAACCCAGTATTACTTGCTCTTTAATATTAGAATAACCTAAAATAGCAATTAAACTTAAAAACCGTCCCTATTCACAAATACGATTACACTACTTTTACCATTTTAAGTTATGTATATTCATGTGGCTGCTTTTTAACCACCTTAAATGCTTGACAGGGCAGCCTGGTTTATAAGCAAGTCTAACAACAACAACAACCAAAAAAACACTATGAAATGTCAAAACGAATTTTGTTAAATATTCCAAACATCTCAATATTCATTACAGGCCTGACCAAATTATCTTAAACCTTTCAGCTTAAAATGCTAAGATCTAATATGTGAAGATTCTTTAAATCACATCTGCACACATATTATCCTTAATTAAAACCAAAGGTTTTAATATAATCAGTTTCATCTACTTTATTATCTATAGATTCAAGTCCAAACTTTAATAGGATTGCAAAGTATTTAATATCTAAGATGGGCTGGAAATTCCGGGTAATAATACAGTTGCGTATCCGTTGCAGGGTTTGAGATTGCAGACGAGCCATGGAATCTGAGAACTACAAAACTCCAGGTTTATTCTGTTAAGAGTAGGAATGGACTCTTATAGGGCTGATTTGTCAACAGATTCCCCAAGTACTCTCAGCCTCTAAATGGTAGTTACCCAATTTGGGTAGATGGAATTTGATCCCCCTACACCATGTTGCAGCTAACTTCCTTCACTACTTAATTGGATTTATCTAATCTTTTCACTAATTTGAATTCTTTCCATAATCTTGGCCACAATTTTTTTTAAGATTTTATTTATTTGGGGAGGGGGGACAGAGGGAGAGGGAGAATTATTATTTTTTTAAGATTTTTTATTTTTTTATTTTAGAAAAAGAGCGCAAGCTGCGCTGGAGCAGAGGGAGAGGGCGAGAATCTCAAGCGCACTCTGCAATGAGCTCAGAAAGTAAAAAAAGGATACTGTGGGGCGCCCTGGGTGGCTCAGTCTCTTGGGTGTCCGACTCTTGGTTTCAGCTCAGGTCATGATCTCAGGGTGGTGAGACTGAGCCCCTAGCAGCTCCTGCTCTACCTGGAGTCCGCTTGAGATTCTCTCTCCTCCTCCCCCCACTTGCATTCTAAATGAACAAATTCTTCAAAAAATACTGTAAAGCTACATAAATGCATATAGAAAAGGCAGAGGACCCGCCTGAGCCTCGGTCGCGGAGCTGCCTTTGGCGGTCTCTGCAAGTGGGCTCTGTGTCCCAGCGCCCGACCGGGTTCCCGCCACCCCGGTCCTGCGCAGAGGCCGCGAGGGGGCGCCCGAGATTTCCACCAGCGCACAAGCGACGGCATGTCATCCATCCCCTCCACGGGCTCGCAGTGGCCACCCACGACCATTACCCAAGCCGCGGGGGTTCTACTTGCAGTAACAGCTCCTGCGGAAGTGCAGGGC